TGCACTTGGAAGGCGACCCTCAGTCGCCATTTAATCACATTCTAAAGATCGATGTTAATTAATATATCAAATTTAAAATTACCCAATGATGCGTGGAATATCGAAGTAAAATAATGCTATGTCTTAATTTGTATACGGTTTCTTATTTACCGTTTTAAAAATATCGTTGACTTTATGGAAGAAAGTCTTCGAATTACTATTTTTCTGTAATGAGAAGATCGCGCCGGGTGCAAAGGGTTAATTACTAAGATTCTGCGACACACCAAAAACGATATCACTTACAATTAAACATCTATATCAATTTTTCACTTGATAATTTGAAGGAAAAGCGATTAATACCGTAAATATATACATATATCGTATTTGTGTATGATTCAAAACAAAAATGTCACCTTAGAGACAGAGTAAAGTAATTATCGATGCCAAACTGTGGTAAAGTGTTTCATATTTTTAAATGCAAATTAGTTTTCTTATACATATAACGATATTCAATTTTAAATATTGAAGAAACTGATATAGGAGACATTTCGTCGAAAATTTCGTATGATATATCAAAATTATTTAATATCTTACAAAGTGGACTGAATAACGACTAATTGGAAATCAATTTCTTTTCCAACATGACAATATCTAGAGGCCATTTGGAATCGGATTTTAAAGTTTTCGAAACTCGAATCCGACTTTGTAAGAAACTCTCAAAACTTTTGGAACTTGAAGTACTCACTTTGTTTTCTAAAATGAATATTTCATTTCAAGAACCGGAGTCTCAACGCGATTCATGTATGAATCCTTATTGAGCAGAGGAAAATAAAACAGATTTAACAAAAATATAGTAATGTAAAAATATATCTAATCTAGATTTTTCTTCAAGAACTCGTATATCCCGGCTGTTTCTGAAACTAATCTAATTGTTTTATCGACTATTTCGAATCACGAAAGAGCGCAAAGGTTTGAATTTTCGAAATATGGAACTCTCTTGGGTTTCAAAGTATTTTGAGAAATATATCTTTAACCCCTTGAACTTTGTGATTCATTATTAAAAGTCTGTACCATCAATAGCACCAACTTGCTACCAATATTGTAAGATACGATAAACGTGTTATTGTTAGAATAGCAACTCGCAGATTAGATTCACTGTGAGATAGAAAATGATATGTACATAATACATTAAGTGAAAGTCCATTAATACGATGATTCAATTTCGGGTCTAACACCGTATGCAAATCAAGATACATGATGTAAACATTGAAATATACAAAAAATTTGGTAATCAGTGCATACACGAAATACTCATTATGAATTGACTTTGATCATGACCTGCATATATAACATAACCTCAGGGGGTTAATAATATACCGAAATACACTGCCTAAATTGGAAAAAAATTAAAGCAATTTTAACACAATGAATATTTGATCACAGACGTATCCAAGCATGTCAAATTTTCCACATTAACTATTTTAAAAATGACTTTCTTAGATTTGAGGACCAAATATTTTCGGAACGATCTATATCTATTGAGGATGGAACATTGAATATAGTGATTTTAACTATTGTTTTTCTCCTCTTTATTTTGCACGAAATGAGAGGATAGGAAGAAAATAATAAGAAAATAAAATTTTCATTTGTGTATTTTACTAAAATAAAATTTCTTCGTATACCCATCTAAAAATTGTTGTTTTCATGTAATTTGATATTAGTTCACTACATATGAAATAATAAACGAAACACATTTATCACATGAACCTTCGTACATTTTTGATTTAACTTGAAAGTTATTAAACACAAACAATACAACCAAACATAGCTCGATGGAAAATAGATTCAACAATGTAAACGATCTAAAAAAGGAACTCATACAAAATATTAAGTTATTTTTCAATGTATAATATTCTTCCATTATATATAATGGTAAAATGTGATAAATTAGAGAATCTTGAAATCTTTAGAAATCTAAAAGAGTTTCGTGTCTTGAGATTTCGAAATTTTACGTTTTTTGTCATTCGAACTACCTGAAACCCAAATTCGGAAAAGTATGAAATCGTGGAATAAAAGAAAATATCTCATTGTGCCATCATCAATGTTATTTGCTGAAAAATATTCGAAGTTTCAGTACATCTGGCTTTGTCATCCATAAAAAACAAAAAATACTCGCAATTGATGAAAAGTATTATTAAATGTGACTCAATAAGACAGTATGAAATAGTATTTAAATATCATTTATAATATTTAAACAAGAATCTGAATTACATATTTTTGTATATTACTATATACAAATATTAGTCTGTATATTAGTCTGTATATTGTATAATTTAATAGTAATTAAACAGAATTTGAAATTTCCAGGGTTCTAGTGTTATCGAAAATGATTCTATTGAAAAGTATAGTTTTACATTATCACAAATTTAATTCGTCATTATGATAAAAATTTCACTTTTTTAAATATTGGAATATGTAACCTATGCATATTATAAGTTTAATTTTTCTTAAATTGAAACGTAATTTTAGAAAATAAATGTAATAAAAGATACCCTTGATTTTAAAATTTACTTTCACGAATATTGAAATTTTTTAGTCCAATGGCTGTAAGTACATCATTTTTATACAAAAAGTAGAAAATTATCTTCTAATGATTCCAATAAACTCGTTTTCTAAAAGGTTAATATGATTTTACATTATCCGTTTAAAGAATAAGAAAATTAGTATGTTTCTCAATCTGAGAAATTACTGCTAAAAGTTAAATAATCTTACAATTTTTCTCACTGGATTATTTATTAATTAATTTTTACGAAAAAGAAGAAGATTATAATAATGGAATACCCCAGTTTTCTCTTGAATCTCAATTTTATCAAATAGTCATACCTACTTTCTATAAGAAAGTATAAACCCTACTTTGAATATTCATCAATATTCATTTTTCTAAAATCCCTACATTTTCTGTCTACATTCATGTGCAAAAGTATTTGAACTTATATTTGTTACGCTTAATAAATGAAATATAATCACGAAATTGAAGTATTTCGAATAATATGATATTAAGGTAGAAATTCCATTAAAACGTCTTAATATTTTATGCAATAATATATTAATCAACGATTAATACAATAAACCTATTTTTTAATTAATGGTAATTTTGCTCAATATTATATGTTACGTTTCAATACTTTTGTGATCCATCAATAATATATGTTTGTAATAAATGTATTATAGACATTGTATATATTGTTGAATTAATTCCATTTTTATTCTTATAATTTTCGGACTCTTTTCTTGTTATGTTGAGATATTATATTGTTTCAAACATTTCCGTTTGACTTAATATAATGTAATATATTTCACTTGTTAAAAGTAACAAATGCGAACGTTGAAATACCTTCGTGTGTCAGAGTACCATTATAGGAGTACTAAAATAGCAATAATGTAGCAGCTATGGCAAGAAAAATATATAATGTTTACACTTACTATAATTTATGAAAATGTATAATGCAAAATTGTTTCGTTTCGAATAAACGAATCTGCAAAGAAAATATTCAGATTGAATGACAAATTATATACAATGTATAAGTGTATTGAAAGTCTTAATGAAACAAAATTTGAAAATATTCAAAATTATTTATATCGCATTAAAATATTAAGTTTTAGTAGATATTACAATTTATAAATGAGTTTTATTCGTATTTATATTTATTTTTATATATTCCTAATACGTTTTTCTCACACATAACATACATGTATATTTCTAAATAATTTTAGAACGAATTAGAGAAATAGTTAATTATAGTAATAGTGACATATGATATGATATAATACTAGTAAAAAGTAAAAACTCAGATTTTGGTAACTTTCTCTTTTCATTCACAACATTCTGACTGCCAATGTTCTCTTTGTAACAATTTGCAATACACTGTATCAACGAAAAACCATCTTTGCCTTTCAGCTTTCATTTCGCTAAATTTTTAATGAAACATGCTCCACACATTGCCTAGGCTGAAATGCGATCAATTAATTTAATATCTTTCCGGCAGCGAAAGTTTATCGTTGTTTTTCGTTCCTTTCCCTTGTTGATTCGTACTTTCCCTTTCACAACTTGCATTTACTCTTATCAAAAAACTTATCTATATATGACTTCAAACATGAACAACGTTAATGTAAAGTAACAGTAATGTCAGACAAACAGTTTGGTTTGAATAACCAGATTGATTAACTCTTTGTGCTATGACTTATTGTTAATTATGAAACGTCGTACATTAATTAATTTTATTTAACCACTAGACATCTATTTCATTTGTAATAAAATTATTTAAAAAACTCCAGATTTGCATAAATTTTATACATGCTATAACGTATTCAGTATAATTTTAATCATTTAATAATACCATCATTGCGTGGTTTTAATATAATATTTTATTATAATATTTAATAATATTTGAATAATATTTTATTATAATATTTCATCATATAATTGATTGCATCAATTATTATAATATTACTATTATGATATTTCTGAAAAGATATATCGTTTCATTTATAAAAATTAACGTGATTTTGAAATCTCCTCTATTACTCCACTTGCAAGAAAATTATTAACACCACACGATGTATTTAACTCATTATATCAAACAACTTTAGAACGACATTTTTTTCATAACTTCAACCTCATAAAATATTCCGCCATATATGATTAAACGGGACACACTATATTTTATTGTTCCGAAATTTCAAATAATAGCACAACTAATGAAAGAAAGTGAAAATAGAGAAAGGAAATAAGATCATAACGTGTTTCAGCATGCGCCTGGGGAATTTCACTGCTTCTATGGCCACCGTGGATTTACGCTTGGCCATACATAGAGGGCCAACGAACGGTACCCATCAATGCCTGCTACATTCAATTCATCGAGACAAATCATTACATCACATTTGGTACCGCAATTGCTGCATTTTACGTGCCTGTCACTGTGATGATCATTCTTTACTGGCGGATATGGAAGGAGACGAAGAAGCGGCAGAAAGATCTTCCGTATTTGCAAGCTGGAAAACAGGATGCCAGTAAACGGAGTAACTCTAGGTTAATTTTTATTCAGCTATTTTGCATTTACTAATATAATTATCCATATCACAATGCCGGCATCCAAGAATCAAAATAACAGAAAGATATATATTATTTCAATTTTAACATTTGAAAATTCTATTTCAATATCATATTTTTTAAATTAGTCAATGGATATTTTTACAATAATAATACAAAGGAGAAATGCATGTACGCTATTTTTCTACGTACTACAATAAAAAATAATTACTAAATAAGAAGATACTACGCTTTGCAGACTGCTTGATAAAAGTACATATAAACAGAAAATAAAAGCTTTCTAATTTAATTGATAAAACACACGTAGTTTTATACCTACAACGATTTCATAACATAGAACCGATGTGGGTGTGGCGATAATATAATGATTTTATAACACGATAATTACCTACAAAAATATGGACTAAATCGATCCATATTTTATTCAGGAGGAGTAACAAATGAAAACAAAAATTTCCAGTAAAAATTTCTTAAAATTATTTCGATACGTTAAATAGAAATAATAAATAAGCAATTTGTGTCGAATGAAATAAAAAACACTCCACGAAATCTGTCGAAAATCGATATTCTATTATATTTATTTACAAAGATATTTTATTTACAGAGGGAATAGCAAAAATTATAAAATATATAACAATTCTTAAAGATTCCAATAATTATCCAAAAATATTTCATACTTTCCTTGTTTATTTAACATTAAACCTACCGTGGTTAAATGACCAGTGAACGAAAAAGAAGCGGAATCTTAAAAAGGATGGAATAATGAGAGGTATTGAAGAATTGATTAGACGCATATTAGAAAAAAATCATGAGTGACTAATTGTAAGATAACGTTTAATGCGGAATTTTTAATGGTAGTTTTTAAAACGGTCATTTAGGCTATGGATTAGGATGGAATGTGACACAACAATTTATATCATGCAAGATGAAAGACTAATAAGGAATCCACCTTATATATCCACAATTTTTCATCATTATTTTCTTTCTTTCTTTTATATTCGCGTGAAATGCACAAGAAAAGAAATATTCCGATGTGCGACAAATATTTTTGGATTCATAGTCACTAACCTGAAACAGTTATAAAAACTGAAACGATGCCATAACTGTTATGAAAGTGCATGATTTGTGTAAAAAAAAGTATAGCATACTACGCTACAAGGGAGTTCATCTAATATTTTAATGAAACTTTGCATACATAGTTTCTTTAAACTTTGTATATAAAGCACAATGAGTTTTACATAGAGCAATTATTTTGACGAGCAAGAAATCTTTTTAAAAGAGCCAAATAGATCCTCAAAGTTTCGATATTTTTTCATGCTCTAACTATAACCAGGGCAATAGAGCATTGCAAATTAAATATTTTTTGTATAAGAATTTTCGTTGTATCTTATATTATTACGTATAGAGTTTTATTTTAAATAGCGAAAAGAACATTGAAAATTCAATTGCCGAATACATCTGCTTAGAGTGATATTACGCGAGAGAAAAGATTGCTGCATGCATAATCTGTTACCATACACATACTCATACATTTTTATCCAAATTAAAAAATTCAAATCGAAATATTCTGTTTAGGTGAATTTTCTTGTAATATAATGTACCAATACATTTTTCACCGACTATATCGATTTCAGTTTAAACACTTGAGAAATAAATATTGATATCTTTATCGTGTTATCTCTATATTAGTTTTGCAACTATTATTTTTTGGTTTTATATAAAAAATTTAGAAGATTCAGAAATTTAGAATTTCAATAATAATAAATATATGTCCGACATGTAAGATGATTTTATTTAGTTTAAACAAAAAATCTGTGTTGTTTAGTTATTTTAACTCAAATGCAGTTCAATCAAATGTTTAAAGCAGAGTACACATCATCAATTTTGAAATATGCTGTAGAAATATCATTCTGAATACCTTTTCTTTATAATTCGCAAAAAACTGTTGCTAATTTGATGAGTCCATAGCAAAGCTAAGACTGTATAATGCGAAGTATTGAAATACATGTAAAAATATCAATGAATTGCGACAAATCGAAATTATTCCTTGGTGTTGCAACACATTAATTATTATTTGACACTTACATTTAATATAGAAAGTCATACACGCAGATAATGGTTATTGGCAATTAACGTTTACAGTTCTTCGTTATTGGAGCTTGTGAGCTATTGATTGTGAGCTAGCTTCTATGTAATAGGCATTGAGTCCCTACTTAGGTAATTATTATCAATTTCGATTTTTATTCAGTACTCGTTACTATTACTAATTCATTACGACCTATCTCATGGAGACTTTACATTAAAAATATCATATTAGACGGCTTAACATATTAAAAGTAAATGCATCCAAAAATTGAGGAACAGATTTTTACGTTCTAATTAAGTCATATAAGGCTATTATATCGGCAAGTCTGAACATACTTAAACACCTAAAAGTGATAAACGATAGCCAATCTATTCTATTTTATTAAGTGAGATATATATACTTCTGCTTCGTCAAAAAATAGAACTCATACTTTCATATACCTCAAACACAGCAGCTTCATCTAATATCCTATTGAACAAATTATTTCTTCCAATAGATTCTTCAATGTGTTTATCTGAAAAAAGAGACTACTTAATCCATTAATATCCGCATCCCTAACATACTAAGAGAATAAAATTTAACATTTTCAGTTATCTTCGAAAAGGAAGAATATAAAATTGCTCCTTGGTTATTAATAAATGCGAAATAACTAGAAATATTTGATATTCCATAAAAAGAAAAATAAAGAAAATCGTGAAAATTAAAACCTTTAAAAACCTCTTTCTTGAAAATTTTAACCAGTACTCCCACTCGAACAATCTAGTTTTATTGTATACCAACAGACCAAAATGCAAGCAGGTGTGAGCTGTGCGCTAATTAAATCAAATTGCCACCTTCCTTTTCAAATTTTTTTTATGATACTTATGCTATTCCAAAAGGACTCAAAATGGTAGAAAAAGTGAAAACTAATAATAAATACATTAAATACGTTATTTTCACAGACTCGAGATTCAATCCTACAGCTATAAATAATAAGAAATCATCTAATTCTATCATTATACAAATCATCCAAAGAAACAACGACTTAGTTACAAACTATCCAGACACTGAAATTTCATTTGGCTGGGTTCCTGCCAAAATCGGTCTTAAAAGGAATGAGACAGCTGGCGAAATTGCCGGAGAAACAGTAAAATCTACTCTCTGCAATTGCAAACTTTCACAAAGAGTCGTACAACTCGTTAGCAACGTCAATTAAAGAGATATGAAATTGAAACTGGAAAAATAGTAAAGTTTCGTTTATTCATAGCATCTGGAGTGACATTTGTAAACAAAACCCGACTATATCGTTTGAAAAGAAGAAACAAGACATCCTGATGAGACTGATTAGAATCGATCACACTCATTTTACGCATTTTTATTTTTTTAAAAAAGGTAACGCACCTATGTGTAATTTATGTTCTACTAGAAATTTCATCGATCACATTATTACATTCTAACAAAAATTCCAAAATTCCAAACTGCCTATACTCAACAAACAACAGTTTTGAACAACAAATTTTGAATAACATAAGCTTGTGCCATAAGTTATTAGATTTTCTTTTCACCTATTGCACCTAATTTGGATTCGAATACTTCGAAATTCTATTGTTATTATTTATTCTATTATTAAATTCTATTATATATATAATTCTAAATAATTATTATTAAATTCTATTGTTATTATATAATTGTAATTTTTCTGTTATAAGCAATTTTAATCTATCCTGAGATTATTTTGCATGCATCGTGTGTACAGATATGTTAACAAAAAGAGTTACTGTTTTAGACATTAGATTACAGCTTTTTAGGTACGAGTACACAGCGCTACAGATCTCCACTGTTGGTTTATAGAGTATAATTTTATACGACAATGGGAAGTGGTAATTTGGATGAGGGTGATTTTTTGTATTTCGAATAACAGGAATTGTCACGATACAGTTGTCAGAGTCTTGTATTTCGTGTTTGCATTGACATTTAGGGTTGCTTGTTATTCCTATACGAGCGTGTGAAGAAGCGAGGTTATAATGGCCTGGTCTGCATCTGTTTATGGTTGTTGCAATTTCCCATCTAAGATTTTTACTCGCAAACTACGATTTAGGTTTTGCATTCTGGAATTGTTGGAAATAGTCAATTCCCTTGAACGTCCATTTTTGGTGATGATGTTACGAGTATTTTTAATTGTTGAGGTTTTGGCTATTTCTTTCAGGTCTTTGAAGGGTATTTAGTTTCATTACCCAGAATCCCCATGTGAGATGGTATCCAATAGATTTTGATTTGTCTGTTATTTGAGATTATTATGTAGAGTTTGGAAACTTTTCTTCTTATTTCCAAGATGTATGGATACTTTCTTATGGTTAGTTGGGTTTCTTTTAGTGAGTGTAAAGCATCGAGGAAGTCGCTTAAGATAAGAAAGCTTTGGGTAGCATGATTTATGGTAACATTTAGAGGATCGCTTAGGGCAAAGCATTCCGCGTAAAAATTGACGAATTTTTAACAATGCTTCTCGTTACTGTGACGTCTAAATCCCTGCATACACTTCCTACTGAAATTGAATTTCTTAATTTACTTCCGCCTGTGAAGATCATGTGGAATCCCTCATCTGTAGCTAGCTGTTCGACTAAGATATTAGAATTTTTAATATTTGCCATTGATTGATCGAATTCTGTGTTAATATCTAAGTTGCATATAGGAATGTTGTACTCGTGATTGTAGATGGGAAACTGGTGAGTTGAGTAGATATAATTACACTCTCGGAGTTTTTTAATACATTCTAGCAGTATTCCGTTATTAATTTGCGCTATCTATATCTATCGAATAAAATTTTCCTGAAGTGCGAGATAGATTCGTGCACTGATAGCTTTTTGTTTTACATTTTATTGAGGTAGCAGTTGCATAAAAATTTCATACGTGATTG